TTTTTTTGTCTTTTTGACTTCTTGAGACAGGGTCTTACTATGTAGTTCAGGCTGGCCTTGAGCTCACTTTGAAGCCCAGGCTGGTCTCAAACTTTCAGTGATTCCCTTGCCTCAGCCTCCTGAGTGCTGAGATTACAGGCATGCACCACCATGCCCACTTGGATCTGCTTTATTTTTACATATTTAGTACAGGGTCTACAGGGTCTCACTATGTAAATCAGAGTCGTAGTAATTCTCCTGTTTTCAGCCTCCCAAGTGTGGGGATTGCAGGCACACACCCCGACTCCCAGTCTCAATTACCTTCTCAACAAGCCCCAGGGGTGGGGCCGGAATGGTACCCAGACTGTTGTGCTCTGCTTATCAAGCAGGCACTTAGTCTGCTGAGCTATCTGGCCAGCCCTGGATCTGCTTTCTTACAGAATATCTCCCGTCCTCCTGCTGGTGGTGGGCAGCTGCGCCTGAAGGCTGTGGTGGGTTACAACGGGAATGGGCGGGCCAACATGGTCTGGAGGCCTGACACAGGTAGGTCAAGGTGTCCCCACCAGAAGAATACAGGGCAGGGCCAAGCTGCTTGTCCAAAACTAGGTTCTCATGGGTAAACAAGTTCTGGCTATCAGCAGGAGTGCTCCAGTGTGAGTGGGGAGAGACACTAACACAGTGTTGTCCATAATGCCTTTGGCATTCCAGCCCACATCCTCAGGCCCTATATGGTTTTGGCAGTGATAGGGAGGCCATATCCCAAAGAGGTTGGTGCCTTCTCTGCCCATAGGCTTCTTTGCCTATACGTGTGGCCGCCTAGTGGTGGTAGAAGACCTACATTCTGGAGCCCAGCAGCACTGGCTCGGCCACCCTGAGGAGATTTCCACACTGGCCCTCAGTCACAATGCCCAGGTACCTGCCATAACCAACTCTTGCCCACACCCAGGGGTATAGTACACCGCAGAGCCTGGTTCTCACCATGGACAGTGAAAGGGACATGTTCCCTGCTTCCCTTTTACCCAGACCCACAGCTTCCCCATGACTGCTCACTTACCTCCCATCCACCAGGTCCTGGCTTCTGCATCTTGCTGTGGCAGCACTGCTGCCCTCTGCCAGATCCGCCTCTGGGATGTACCCGGGGGCCTCTGCCAGCAGCTCATATCCCATCATGACAGCGCAGTTCAGGCCCTGGCCTTCTCTCCAGATGATGCATTCCTTGTAACACTAGGTCAGTGGGGTGGGGGGTTGGTAGAAGGAGGGGCTTCCTGGACCTCTGGACCCCTGTTGCCTGATCAGGCCCACCCATGAATCCCCATCCAGGGGACTACCGTGACTGCACCCTTGCCCTGTGGAGCATGGCTACCTATGAACTTCTGTCATCTAGCCGTCTTCTGGAGCCTATGCATGGTGTGGCCTTCAATCCCTGGGATGCAGACGAGCTCACCTGTGTGGGCCCAGGTGCCATCACCTTCTGGCTTCTGCGGCAACGTGGGGCAGACATCAGCCTCCAGGTGCCAGGATGTTGGCTTAGTATTCAGGTCCAAAAGTAATTTGGGGGTGGAGTCTGCCAAGGATCTTGGAATATTGCTGATCGATCCACAGCCATTGTCCTGCCCTGCCAGGTGCACCGAGAGCCAGTCCCTGAGGAAATGGGGCTGGCTGAGCTGACCTCACTCTGCTACGGAGTTGCTCCCCTGCTCTACTGTGGCTCTAGTTCTGGCCAGGTCTGCGTCTGGGACACAGGTGCTGGCCGCTGTTTCCTGGTCTGGGAAGCAGATGATGGTGAAATTGGTAGGTCCCTGATATGGTCCCTGGCCCCTCATGGATACAGGGCTAGGACCTCTCCTTGGGAGCCATGGTCATGGGACAGGAGGCTATTTGGGAAATTATACCCACCCTGCCTTTACCCCCATCTCTCAGGTTTGTTGGTATGCTCAGGATCCAGGCTGGTTAGTGGAAGCAATACAAGGAGACTGCGTCTGTGGGCTGTGGGTGCTGTGCCTGAGCTGTGGCACAAGGGCTCAGATGCTAGGTAAGCCACCAGGGGCCTGCTTGGCACCGTCCCCAGGATGTAAGTTACAAGGGAGCTCTGGTATCCTGAATGGGTCCCTCACGCTAGCACCTCTGCCACATAGTGCCATGTCAGGTCAGGGCCGCCCTTCAGCTCTCACCAGCTAGTCACCTCCTTGGGGACACACTTAGGTCTGGTCTGAGACCCACAGGTAGCAGCCTGAAAACAAAGACATGCTCAAAGCCCCTAGGCACTTACCACCAAGGAGGCTTTCACTCTGTACACAAAGCAGCCAGGCCCCAGACATGATGGCCACAGTTGCCCTGTTACCTGGCTCTTGTCTTCTACCTCCAGACATACTACTTCACCCCCCACCCCAGGTCCAGTTCTGTGTTCATGGAGCGTGAGCTGAACCTAGATGGGGCTGTGGTGAGTGCCAGCTTCGACAGTGGCATGGACATGGGTGTGGTAGGCACCACAGCTGGCACACTTTGGTATATCAGCTGGGCTGAGGGTACCAGCACTCGTCTCATCAGTGGCCACAGGAGCAAGGTGAGGCCTTAGGCTGGAAGGGAGAATGGTAGAGGGGTTCCACCCCAGATGAGTAGGGGAGATCAGCAAGCGTGTTTGGCCAGCCTGCTTTGTTGATTCCAGGTCACAGCTCAGGAGTGACCATCAGTGAGTCCCAGAGTTTGGGCTCTTGAGCACACTCATCACATATGCCCAGCTGGCATCTGTGCAAGTCAGTGTCTGACGGTTTCTATAAGATCTCTGGGGGCCGGGGAGATGGCTCAGTGGAATAAGCACTTGCCTGGAAAGCACAAGGGCCTGAGTTCAGTCCCCGGTTCCACCAAAAAAAAAAAAAAAAAAAAAAGATCTCTGAGGACTGAACTCAGGACCTTCACACTAAGTGACATCCCACCCTCCCCCTCTTTTCTGAGACAGTATCTCACTAAGTCTATGAATTGCCTAGGGTAAGCTCAAGCCTGCAGTTCTCCAGCATCAGCCTCCCAGGGTCCTTTATGACAGGGCATGTACTACCACACCTGACTAACCTCTCTTTCTTCTGTTGTACTTGTTGAATACAACCTGTCATTTGTCCTGATACCTCCCATGGATTGAAGTCTGGGAAACAGGAGGCCAGGCAGGTTCTGGCAGGTCTGGTGAGATCTGGTCAGGTTCTAGTCTGTTCTTACTGAGTTTAGTGAGGTTCTGGTTATAACTGGTCATGTTTAGTGAGGTTCTGGCCAAGATCTGGTCAAGTCTGTCAGATTCTGGTTTGGTCTGGTCAGATTCTGGTCAAGTCTGATCATGTCAGGTTGTGATTAAATGTGGGATTGAACTCAGACCCTTGTGCTTGCCAGGCAAGTGCTTATTCTACTGAGCCATCTCCCCAGCCCCAAAAGTTCAGAAGGATTTTTTTTTGGGGGGGGTGCTGGCTCAGGATGCCCTCAGGGCAGATCTGGTAAGGCATGAGCATCTGGGGATTGAACCACAGCATCCTGAGCCTACTGTTTGGTTTAAACAGGCACTTAAACAACTGAGCTAATGGGCAGGCCCCCAACTTTTCTGTGTGGCAACAGATTTACTAGTTGGGTGTGGTGGCACACACCTGTAATTCCAGCACTTGGGAGGCTAAGGCAGAAGCTTTTTCTTTTTCTTTTGGCAGGACTGGGGATTGAACTCAGGACCCTACGCTTGCCAGGCAAGTGCTTATTCTACTGAGCTATCTCCCTGGCCCCTTAAGGCAGAAGCTTTACTGTGAGTTTGAGGCCATCCTGGGTACAAAGTGAGTTCAAGGCCAGCTTGAACTACATAGTGAGACCCTGTCTGAAAAAGACAAAACAAAACAAAAACAGAGCTGGGGAGATGGCTCAGTAGAATAAGCGCTTCTCTGGCAAGCGCAAGGGCCTGAGTTCAAGCCCTGGTTCCGCCAAAAAAAAGTTGTTTATATATATATATAAAATTGTGAAAGCACCATTTGGGCTGGTGAGATGGGTCAGTGGTCTAAAGCACCTACTTAGAACAAGCTTAGCAAAGCCCAGGGACCACAGTTCAATCCCCCAGCACCACATGCCAGCCAGCTTGCCCCCTGGTGGGCTGAGCTAGCCACACACACACACACACACACACACAAATAAAAGAAATGTAACTTAAAAAAAAAAAAAAAAAAAAAGATTTACTGAGTCATAATTTATAGACTATGTCCCTAATCCATTTAAACCTCTCTTCTGGGAAGCAGTCTTTTATTTTTATTTTTTTCTTTTTTTCGTGAAATTGGGGATTGAACTCAGGCCCTTGTGCTTGCCAGAGAAGCCCTTATTCCACTGAGCCATCTCCCTGGCCCCCCTAATCCATTTAAAATGAGTGGTTTTTAGTGTCTTCAGCAGAGTTGTATGCCATCAGCTCAATCAATGTCAGAGAGTTTTTATCACTTCCAAAGGAAACCCCTATTTTTCAAGTAACCACTCCCCATTTCTGATCCCCTCCCTCCCGGCAACTACTTATACCGGCTTTCTGTCTTCATGGATGTACTCTTTTGGGCAGTCCACACAAGTGGGTCCTATACTGTGCCTTCTCTGCATCTTCTTCCTTTAATGAACATCATTTCTTCCTGGTTCATCAGGTGGCAGTGAATTCCTTTTTTTTTTTTTTTTTTTTTTTTTTAATGCTGGGATTGAGGCCAGGCCTTAGCAAGCTAGGCAAGCACTCCCAGCCCTGAATTATCTTCCTAAAATAAAATGCACCATGAGGTGCACACTTGCCTTTGAAATTGTGATTCAATACTGGGCCTTTTTTCTGAGCCTCAGTGGCAGATGGCACATGCAGCCTTACTCCAAAACTCCCTGATTTTCAGTGGTACCCTACATGATAGCATATCTGTTTCCTCTGTTGACATATAGTCAACCTCGGGGAAAAAAACATGTGGCCACCAGTGTCTTAACTACTGAACTCAGCAGGGAGTGTGTTTGTGGTTTCCCTACAGTCTGCTAAAGACACATGGTTACTTACTGTGTTTCAATTGTGCCGCACAGCCCTTCCACAGAAGCCTATGTCCCACTGGCTGGTGGGTCCCACCAGTTCTGATGAAGTGTCTTTTTACATCATCTGGTGGTGGCTGGGCCAGACAGACTTGGGCAGGAGACAAGTGCTCTGTGTGGACAGGCTGGCCTTGGCAGCTGGGGTAGGAAAGGCCCTTCTAGGGGGTCCCTTCAACCCAGTGAGGTCTCCACAGGTGAATGAAGTGGTCTTCAGCCCTGGTGAGTCATACTGCGCCACCTGTGGTGAGGATGGGAGTGTGAGGGTGTGGTCCTTGGCCAGCATGGAGCTGGTGATCCAGTTCCAGGTACTGAACCAGGTATGTGGGAGTGGGCAGGGGCTCCCTCTGGCGTTATCCTTAGGGCTGGTGCCCTGTCATGACTTCCTGGGTCGGTGCTGAGGTTTCTGCCTCACGGGTCCCCAGAGCTGTCTCTGCCTTGCATGGAGCCCCCCATCCTGTGGACACCCAGAGCAGCAGCAGGTGGTGGCAGGCTACAGTGATGGCACACTGCGTGTCTTCAGTATCTCCCGTACCACGATGGAGCTCAAGCTGCACCCCCATCGGGCTGCACTGACAGCCATTGCCTTTTCCACTGATGGTGAGGAGCTGGGGATATGCAGGGTGACCACATCAGACCTCCCCAGGCTGGGGACTGGCCTCACAGCATTTTGGCATATTCCCTACCTGGCCCAGGTCAGACCATTCTCTCTGGAGACAAAGATGGACTTGTGGCAGTGAGCCGCCCCCGCACAGGAATGACTTTCCGTGTGCTGAGTGACCACCAGGGTGCTCCGATCTCTGCCATCCAAAGCACACGCAAAGAGGTGAAGCATCCTCAAGAGCTTGTGGGGAGGGGTCTCAGGTGAGGCCAGACAAGATGTTGGGCACCTTGGGGGAGGAGGTACCCATAATCCTCAACCCCTAGTATGGCGACCTAGGAGTGGAGGGTGAAGACCTATGGCTGGCTATTAGTGAGGACCAGCGGGTCAGCGTCTGGGCCTCCAACTGGCCACAGAACCACTGCAAACTCCTGGACTGGTTGAGCTTCCCAGCACCTGCTGCTTTGGAGGTAAGTGTCCAGTGGTACATGGATGGTGAGTATACTTGCCCACCCCACCACAGCATGTTGTACTCCTCTACAGACCACAGGCCTCCTGCCACCCTCCCTTGCCACCTTCTGCCCCTGGGACCTAGCGCTGCTGGTATGTGTGGGCCTTGGCACACGTGAAGAGGTAGTCTTCTACAGCCTCCGCCAGAAGCAGGTTGGTGTGCACACCTGCCTGGCACTGGAAACCCTAGTGTCCAGGGCTCTGGGTCTCAGGTTCGGGTTGTGAGATGCTGAGTTGTACAGCAAGTAGGAACTACCCCCGCTCTGGCTTGGAGGCCCCAAGCCTCATCCTGGCTGTCCACAGGTGGTAGAGAAAATACTGCTACCCTTCTTTGCCACATCCCTGAGCCTGTCTCCAGGGACCCACCTCATGGCTGTTGGCTTTTCTGGTAAGTGCTGGTGGACAGAAACTTAGGCCTGCCTTATATGGGACCTGGGCCAGCTTAGCTGCACCCACTAAGGCACACACCTCACCTCTGCCTCAGAATCTTTGTGCACAAGTGGGTATGAGAAGATGCCTGCCCCAGAAAGTGCTTAGTCTCAGAGACAAGGTAGGGGAGCACCTAGCACAGCACTGGTTAGAGTCTGGGTGGGAAGGTAGTAATGCCAGAGACTTGGCTGGCCCAGTCACAGGGCCACAGGAGCCCAAGTGTGAGACTTCAGTAGGCTCCTAGCAGCACTGGTTGCCTATGCCAGCATTGTGCCCAGCCAGGAACACAGAGGAAGGGAATGGGAAACCCTGCAGTGCACTACCTGACCCTCCCACCCATACCTTTTGCCCACAGAGTGCACACTGAGCCTGGTGGACTGCACATCAGGGACCACCCAAGAGTTTGCTGGCCACGATGATGTGGTGCATCTGTGCAGGTTCACCCCATCAGGCAGGCTGCTCTTCACGGTGGCCCACAGTGAGGTCCTGGTGTGGGAGGTCCTGAGCCCCTGAACTGCAGTGGACCTGCCTTCCCAGGTGCACCAAAAGACTTGCTGTGCCTTGGGGCCGGTGTGAATGATGGACTGATGACTGGGACAGGACCAGACTAAATCGTCCTAAGCTGTCTTGAATTCAGGTCACCTGGAAGGATTTATGGGACTTGGAGATGTAACTCTGGTAGAGCATGTGCTCAGCACAGGAAAAAAAAAAAAAATTAGAATACATGTTGGCTTTTACCTAAGATGTTTTTTTGGTTTTGGTTTTAAATAAACAGGCGTTTATTGTATTTTGCTCCACCATTTTATTATGGCCCAACTTCCATTTCTACTGGTCACTTCTGTCATCGTTGCTCCATCCCCGAGCCTTCTGCTCCATGTCCAGAACCGTGCCCCTTTCTGCCCACCTGTGGCAGGTAGGTGGTACAAATCTGTGCCGCAAGGAACCGGCTCGGCCCACAAGACTCGGTGTGCTCCTGTGGTGGCGCTGTTGTACCCCACTCAATCATTACTGCGGCTGCGCGGAAGGGACCGGAAAAACTAACGAGGCTAGGGACCGGAAGTGCGGGCAAAGGGCAGAGCTTGGGGCGGGCGAACCCACGATTGGGTCGGGGTGGGTCGAGTCTCGGGGGTCGAGGTTCGCGGGTCAAAACCAAGGCAGGCGGGAGCAGGTGCAGCCATGAGGCGGGACGTGCGCATCCTGCTGCTGGGTGAGGGTAGGTGTCTGCCCGCAGGAGGGTCGTGGGGTGGGTGGACACGGGATACGTAATTTAGGCTTCCTGCTTCATCGCCCCGCCCCACTCTTGCAGCCCAGGTGGGGAAGACGTCGCTGATCCTGTCACTGGTGGGCGAGGAATTCCCGGAGGAGGTACTTGGGCGCCGAGGGGAAGGTACAGGGGCGGGGTCTCAGCGAGGGGACCAGGGGTTAGGACCGGTCATCTCTTACCTCTTGCTGCAGGTCCCGGCCCGTGCAGAGGAGATTACCATCCCCGCAGATGTCACCCCAGAGAAGGTTCCCACCCACATCGTGGACTACTCAGGTAGCACCCACACCTACCGTAGGCCGCCTCTCCTTTCCTCCCTGTAGAGGGTCTGCAGCAGTCTGTCTTTCTCCTTAGAATCTGAGCAGACGGATGAGGAGCTCCAGGATGAGATCCACAAGGTGTGACATTCCAAGCATGGCTTGGCACTGTTGCCTACATCCGCCTTGGCTTAATCAGCTTACCTACCTGGGGAGCTGGATTAAGGTGCCGGGACATCCGTAGCCTGATAACTTTGGTGAACTCTGAGCACCCAAGAGTCCTTGTGGTTTCCAGGACTGATCTAATCCCTTTAGTAGTACTCAGGAAGAGACCTCAGGTCCATGAAAAACAATCCCGTGCCCTTCACGGCGTCCCCTTAAGCCTCTGTCCTGTGATCCTGGCTTTGTTCTGGTTCACTGCTCTTGACTTCGAAGCTGTGGTGAGGGTCACACTTAACTGGGGTTCACATGATAATAGCCACTGTATCTGTCATGAGCCCCTTGCAGCATTGCCTGAGACCTGCACATGTTGTCTTGGTCAAGGGTGTAGGTACCATGGACTGGCTGGGCAGCTTCATCTCATCTCTGTTGTCCTTTACTCTGCTGTGAAGTGAAAACAAGAGCTAGAAGCCACAGAAGGGTTCTTTTCACTTACATCTCCCTACTGTAGATGATATGTCTGGCTTGAGCACTCTGGAGCTATTGACCAGACCCATGATGCTGGGGCCCAGTGTCTGCACTGGGACCACAGGCCTTGGGGGTGGGGTGGGTTTTCTGAGACTTCCAGTCCCCAGTGTGACCTAGCTGGTATATAGCACTGGCCATATTAAGTCCTGACTGGGTCAGGTTCCAGGAAAGGTGGTCTTCCTGGGCCTTGGATCCACACCTGAGACACACTGGAGCCTTGGGATGTGTGGAGTAGCTTCTGGTCACTGTGTGCCTCACTGCTTCCCCTGCAGGCAAATGTGGTATGTGTGGTATATGATGTATCTGAGGAGGCCTCCATTGAGAAGGTGAGTAGGAGGGGCTTCCTATCTGTCCCAGGTGCCTGGCTCAACAGTGTGTCTTCAGTGTAGAGCCAGGTAGCATATAGTGGACCTTTGTGGTCCAAGTAGACTCTTACCCACTCTTGCGATCAGTCTCATGTGTGTTTTCTCAGGGATTCTCATACTTCTGAGTCAGTTTACAGGGACCCCATTTCCTGGAGAGAGCTGAGAATGAACAGTCTGAATTGTTTAGGCCAGTAGCCCCTTTTCTTTCCTGGCCCTAGAATCCCATAGGGAATGGGTAGGGGTTTGCTTGAGGGTATGGGACCCTGACCTATATGTGGAGCGGTGGTTTGCAGCTGTACAGATCAGCTAAGGACCTATCTCCTTTTTTACCAGCTTCAGTCCGGTAAAGTCTGGCTATAACTTTAGTCACCACTTGGCCTCAGCCTTTTCTCTCCTTGACCCTGGTGCAAGCTCCAGACAGGCACCATGGGCTGGGTACACAGCCTCATTTCATTTGCTTTGTAGATTCGAACCAAGTGGATTCCGCTGGTGAATGGCAGAACTGGAAGTGGACCCAGGTAACAAGCAGGGCCTGGGGGGGAGGAGTGGCAGGGACTACTAGCTCCCCATCCCCGATGACCATGAGCATCTCCACAGGTTGCCCATCATACTGGTGGGCAACAAGTCAGACCTGCGGCCAGGGAGCAGCATGGAGGCTGTGCTGCCCATCATGAGCCAGTTTCCGGAGATAGAGACCTGTGTGGAGGTAAGCAGGCATGTGGGGAAGACATGGAAAGGAGGAAGGCGCTGGATGAGGACAGGAGTATGGAGACCCTGCAGCTGGTGCCTGTGTGGGATAAGCCTGATCCCTATGCCTCTGTTTTCCTTGGGTGCCTCCTGGGTTCTGTCCTGTGTTATACTCTCCAGTGTTCAGCGAAGCACCTGAGGAACATCTCAGAGTTGTTCTACTATGCCCAGAAGGCTGTTCTGCACCCTACAGCCCCCCTCTATGACCCTGAGACAAAACAGGTGAGCAATAGGTAAGGGCCCCACACACTATTCTGGAGCTCTTGTGGCTATTGCATGGGGAGAATAATCAGGGTGGCAGTGGCAGGGTGGACCAAGCAAAGGCCACCTGCAGCACTGAGCTGCTGTCCCTGCAGCTGAGGCCAAAGTGTGCCCAGGCCCTCACGCGCATCTTCAGGCTCTCGGATCAGGACCTGGACAACTCTCTCAGTGATGAGGAGCTCAATGCTTTCCAGGTGTGCACCCTATCCCGAGGTACCCACCCCCAGGCCTCAATCACTCCCAGTGACGTGACCTAGCAACCAAGGGCAGCTAGCTGATCTGAAGCAACTTCTTCTTGGAGGCAGAAGTCCTGCTTTGGCCACCCTCTGGCCCCACAGGCCTTGGAGGATGTGAAGAGGGTGGTCTGCAAGAATGTGCCTGGTGGTGTGCAGGATGATCGGCTGACCCTGGATGGTAAGGCAGATATCCCACTCAGGCCCTGGTGGGGAGTGAGCCATGCTGTGCTGGGTGCTACCTCCTCTGCTCCCCCACAGGCTTCCTCTTCTTGAACACACTCTTCATCCAGCGTGGCCGGCATGAGACCACATGGGCCATCCTACGGCGCTTTGGCTACAGTGACATGCTGGAACTGACCACTGACTACCTCTTCCCATCGTGAGTAATGGGTAGGATGTGGGGCCCACCCTTCTAGGGGCAGAGAACCTCTAGTCAGCCAGGAATGTGTCCTGCTGCACTGGCTTTCTAGCCCAGGTCTGCCTCAGAATCTTTGGTGTCTACAGAGTACCAACTGGGGGGCTCTAGGCCCATGTCAGGGCCTTGACATGGGGGATGGGGTCCTGTGCCCTAGGGGCTTAGCCAGGCCTCCCACCCTCCTTGCCTCTTCCCAGTTCTGTGGAGTAAAGGGCTGAAGTAGCCTACGAGGCTTGACTGTACAGATGGGGTGACCAGGGTGACAGTAGGAGGTGTGCCAGCACAAAGCACAGGGTTCCCTGAGAACCACATAGATGTGGTATTCCCTGCAGGCTCCATGTGCCCCCTGGTTGTAGCACTGAGCTTAACCACCATGGCTACCAGTTTGTGCAGCAAGTGTTTGAGAAGCATGACCAGGTAAGCCCTACCACTCTTGCCAACCCCAGCCACCTGCCCAGCACACGTCACCTCCACCCTCTGCTCCCAGGACTGTGATGGTGTCCTCTCACTGGACGAGCTGCAGAACCTTTTCAGTGTGTTCCCAGTGGCCCCTTGGGGCCCAGAGCTTCCGCACACTGTTCGCACTGACTCAGGCCGGCTGCCCCTGCGTGGGTACCTCTGCCAGTGGACGTAAGTGCAGCTCTTGACACCTGATGTCCACACCTGCTTACCTGCACCTTCCTCACTGACACTGTGCCTCCCACCTACCCTCAGCCTGGTGACCTACTTGGATGTCCAGCACTGCCTTGAACACCTTGGCTACCTGGGCTACCCTACCTTGTGTGAGCAAGAGTCACAGGCTCAGGCCATCACAGGTGGGCAACCACCCCCTGGGGCTTGGGCTCAGCTCTCCCTGGAGCTCCTCTCACCAGAGTTCACCCTCACAGTCACCCGTGAGAAGAGGCTGGACCAGGAGAAGGGTCAAACACAGCGGAATGTCCTTATGTGCAAGGTGGTGGGGGCCCAAGGAGTGGGCAAGTCTTCCTTCCTGCAGGCCTTCCTTGGCCACAGCCTGGGGGTGAGTTTCCATGAAGACCCCCTTGCAGGAAGGACTCTGGGGTTAGGAGAATACACTCAAGGACTGTTAGGGTCAGTGAACATCATGGTCTCCCTCCTGTCTCTCACCACCAGGATACCAAGCCCTCCACCCAGGGGTCTCCTGTCTACGCCATTGACACAGTACAGGTCAACGGGCAAGAGAAATACCTGATTGTGAGTGCTGGCCACACACTGTGACCCTGAGGGTGGACTAGGATGCCTTCATACCCGTGCCCTCACCTTGTGGAGCTCTCTTAGGGCAGCTGTGGGAGACCTAGTCCTTGGGAACATCCCCTGAGGTCACCATTTCTCCCAGCTGTGTGAAGTGGGCACAGACAGCCTGCTGGATACCTCATCTGATGCTGCCTGTGATGTCGCCTGCCTGATGTTTGATGGCAGTGATCCCACATCCTTTCTGTACTGTGCCAGCATCTACAAGGCAAGGCAGGGCCTGCGGACCTGTTGGAGAGCACAGCAGTGGGTGGGGTAAACAGTGAGCTCAGTCTTCACGTAGCCCATTCCCCACAGCGCCACTACATGGACGGCCAGACCCCCTGCCTCTTCGTCTCCTCCAAGGCTGACCTGCCCAAAGGTGTTTCCCCACCAGGCCTGTCACCAGTGGAGTTTTGCCGCCGGCACCGTCTGCCCACCCCAGCCCTTTTCTCCTGTGAAGGCCCAGACCTGCCAAACACTGATATCTTCACCCGACTGGCTACCATGGCTGCATTCCCGTGGGTGTCTGCACAACAGCTCAGGGGAGGGTGGCCTATCCTATCTTAGGGCCATTGGTGTCTGCTAGTAGGGTGTGCTGGGGTCAGGCTTCCGGGTAAGGTTCTGTGGCCTGGCGTCTTCTGGCTTCCTGAGATGAGTGCAGCAGCAAGAGTGTAGGCACAAAGTTTGAGTACCCCTCTTTTCTGCAGACATCTGGCTCACAAAGAGCTGCACCCCACCTCCTTCTGGCTCCGGCGGATGCTGATAGCTGTTGGAACTGCTGTGGCAGCAGTTCTCAGCTTCTCACTCTACAGGGTCCTGGTGAAGAGTCGATGATGGCCCTGGAAACCCTGACCCAGCCTGGGGTGTCTTTTAGGATCAGCATGGCCCATGTGGTGTGGGTTTGCAGCCCCACACTGCAGGAACTCTTAGGCATTGGTGTGGGACCACTGCTTGGGGAGCATCTGTCTGTCTAAACCTTTGCTTCTGAAAACAAGCTTCCCCAGGCTAGGCTTTGTTCTGCCAGGCCATGACCTGGTTCCTGTTTGGCCTGATGGTGGCCGGCAGGTGTACTGTCTGCTTGGCCTCACCCTTGTGGGTATCTGGGATTGGAAGATTAGGTTTCATGGACAAGGAAGTGGGTGACCAGACTCAGGGTTCTCAGATCTCCCTGCCTTCTCCTTGGTCTGGGTGGTCAGTGGGTATTCAGGGACCAAAGGAGGTGGCCAAAACAGGAAGTGACTAGTTTAATTGTAGCTCCCACTGTTCTAGACAGTCATAAGCCTTGCCCATGGCCACATCAGCAGTACAAGACAGCTTAAGTTTTCAAATTAAACCTTTGTCTTCCACTTCATGGTTTTGAAGACAGCTTTTCCTGAATCAATATAAGATACATATTTTGAAATGGGCTGGAAATGTCACCTGACCTCCATATACCTTTCATTCCACAGTCTCCATTTCCAAGGCCAGTGTGACAAATGGCCTTTGGAAAGTCCAATCATGGGGGCTGGATTGTAGCTCAGTGGCACAGCACCTTCCTGGCAAACTTGAGATCCTGAGTTTGATTACTAAAACACCCCCACCCCCAAAGAAAGTGAGTCATACCCAACTGTGGTCCAGGAACATCAGTATTCATCAATCTTGGGTTTTCAGGGTGATGGTCCCTTAGTTGGTGACAGTACCTTCTCTAGGAATGTAGCTTTCCCTGCCTAAGGTCTTCCTACCCAACTCCAGGACTAAATGTGCCTCGTGGCTTACTCCCTGCACTCCAGCCCTGGCTGGGCTGTTCTGAGACCAACTATTGTCATCACCTGCTAGAAACGGTGTAACTGGAACTTTGACCTAAGGAGGCATGGCCAAGATGGTCCTCAGCACAGCCTTCCCTACCCTAGACAAGTGTCCCCATGCTTGTGCCAGCTAGATAGCCTCAGCCATGACTGATTCCAAGGGCCTGGATTTGGGCCCGTGGCCATTCTGGGTCGGGGCAGGCAGGATGCTATCTATAGTCTGCTCCATCATGAAGCCATTGGATATGTGAAACAGCTGGCTGGGTCCAGGGAGGGGTTGCCATTGTTCCTTTCCATGCATCCCCTTAGTTTGCCACCTCCATGATTGGAGGGGTCTACTCTTAGCAGCAGGTCCTTTTCTTACCCCTTATGCATCCCTGTCTTTGGAGTGACTGCTCCTGGCCCTGTGGCTGCAGGAGTGGCTCAGTGTAGACTGGTTTTAGACCCTGTAGGGGTGGTTAAAAGCAGGGCCTTCCCCACCTTTGCCAGCTGATTTGGAGCTTGCATGGCACCTCCTTGAAGCATGCTGGGGGTAGGGATGGGTGTCTTTAGAAAGCATACTGAAACTTTCGGAGTGCTCTGAGCCCGGAGCAGAAACAGTGGGCCACGAACACCAGAGGTTCACAGCAGGGTGGCCTGGGAAGACCTCCCAGAGGAGGTGATATTCCAGCTGAGCCCTGAGAAGGCTGACAAGGGAGTATGAAGGGTTTCTCGTAGCGGAAGTTTTAGGTGCAGCAACTTCGTGGGAGGAGCTTCTGCAACGCGGAGTGCGAGAGGTACCCAGCACTGGGACGGTGCGCTGAGTAGTCCTGTGGCTGCCTCGGGTGTGTGTGTGGGGCGCGTGCGCGCAGGGGCGCCGTGTACGCGGGTGCGCGGCTCCGTGACGCTGCCCGAGAGCGGCGCGGGCTGAAGAGAGCGGGCCGGCCGGGGCGGAGCGGAGTCGTCCGCAGAACAGCCCCTCCCGGCCTCGGCCGACCCCGGCCCGCGGCCCGGCTCTATGGACAGGAGCTCTCTGCTGCAGCTCATCCAGGAGCAGGTGCGTGGGGTAGGAGCAGCACCGCTACCGGCTCCGTCACGGAACCCGGGGACCAGGGCGCATGAGGGGAGCGGCGGTGCCTAACACCCTTCTCAACAAGCCCTCCGGGCCCTGTGCTTAGACCAGAAAACTGCTGGCGGGCCTTGGAGGAAAGCAGGGTGGGAGGGTGGGCATTCTCTGAGGGGCCGACTCTTCTCAGGACTGGCGGGTGGAGCATGAGGTAGGGTGGGGGATACCTTGGGGAGCTCAGGAGCGGCAGGCCTAGGACCTGTGACCAGCCAGGGTCCCAGGAACCAGCCTGCAGATCCGAGCCATCCCTCAGGCACTGGCCTGCGGCTCCTCCACCGCAGCAGCTGGACCCTGAGAACACAGGCTTCATTGGTGCGGACACCTTTGCTGGTCTGGTGCACAGCCATGAGCTGCCCCTGGACCCAGCCAAGCTGGACATGCTGGTGGCCCTGGCCCAGAGCAACGATCGGGGCCAGATCTGCTACCAGGAGCTGGTGGACCTGGTCAGTGCCATGGAGGGTGGGCAGTAGGGGCGGGGCCCAAGCCTGGGCAGGCACAGCACCCCCGGCCAAAGCAGGGTGGGCAGGTGGCCTCTCCCTAGGGAGGGTTTGTGGGTGTGGGCAGGCCCTCTGACCCACAAGGGCAGAGGTGCCATTGGGACTACACTGTGGCCCACACCCAGGCCCCTGCCCCTCAGATCAGCAGCAAGCGCTCCAGTAGCTTCAAGCGGGCCATCGCTAATGGACAACGGGCACTGCCCCGAGATGGGCTGCTGGACGAGCCAGGGCTAGGTGTCTACAAGCGGTTTGTGCGCTATGTGGCCTATGAGATCCTGCCCTGTGAGGTGGACCGCCGCTGGTACTTCTACAGGCACCGCAGCTGCCCGCCCCCCGTGTTCATGGCCTCAGTCACTCTCGCCCAGGTGGGCTGCCCACCCGCCACCCCGGGAGCCTTGAGAATCCCTGGCCCTGACCAACCATACTCTGTCTGCAGATTGTTGTGTTTCTGTGTTACGGGGCCCGTCTCAACAAGTGGGTGCTACAAACCTACCACCCTGAGTACATGAAGAGCCCCCTTGTGTACCATCCTGGGCACCGTGCCCGAGCATGGCGCTTCCTCACCTACATGTTCATGCACGTTGGGTGAGTGGGGAGCCAGCTGGTGAGCACATCTAGCACCCTGTCCCTTTGGTAAAGAAGACTGGGGAGGGGGGAGCATGACATGGGTTGAGAGCAGGCCACACAGCTGATCCTACCCCTCCTGCTTATTTGTCCCCATGTGGCCAGGCTGGAGCAGCTGGGGTTCAATGCTCTCCTGCAGCTGATGATTGGGGTGCCCTTGGAGATGGTGCATGGCTTACTCCGCATCAGCCTGCTCTATCTGGCAGGCGTGCTGGCAGGTGAGGCAGGCAGAGACCCCCTGCTGACCTTGCTGACTGGCTGCACCCTCACCCCTGCCTCTGCTCATGCAGGCTCCTTGACTGTCTCCATCACCGACATGCGTGCCCCAGTAGTGGGGGGCTCTGGAGGGGTCTATGCCCTGTGCTCAGCACATTTGGCCAACGTTGTCATGGTAACTGGGCTGCCTGGCAAGGGTGTGGGAAGGCGGCCACCTGCCCCACCTCATGGCCTATCTGTCTGCATGCCCCCTTCAGAACTGGGCTGGGATGAGATGTCCCTACAAGCTGCTGAGGATGGTGCTGGCCCTGGTGTGCAGTGAGTAGGGGGCTGGGTGGGGGCTGGGGGCCCTCAGCCTGCAGACTGGGCACCTCCCACCTGTTGCTCCTTCTGCAGTGAGCTCCGAGGTGGGCCGGGCTGTGTGGCTGCGCTTCTCCCCACCACTGCCTGCCTCAGGCCCACAGCCCAGCTTCATGGCGCACCTGGCAGGTGCAGTGGTGGGGGTGAGCATGGGCCTCACCATCCTGCGCAGCTATGAGGAGCGCCTGCAGGACCAGTGTGGCTGGTGGGTGGTGCTCCTTGCCTATGGCACCTTCCTGCTCTTCGCTATCTTCTGGAACGTCTTCGCCTATGACCTGCTGGGTGCCCACATTCCCCCACCACCCTGATCTGCACTCCAGGGCCAGAGGGGCATGTGGTGTCCAGTCACCAGGCAGGTCTGCACACCTTCTCTCCATGAGTGGACTTCTCGGGGCCGCTTCACCTTGCAATGGCAGGGGCAGGTGGGCCCTGTAGTCCACCAGCTGAGGCCAAGCCTCACTCCATCCCTGAGTTTCTCCTCCCAGGCCTGGGGGGAGGCCCCCAAAGGTGGTCCCAGAGGAGACCTAATCCCACCCTCTCCAGCCCCAGGACTTGCAGTCTGAGCCTTTTTGGAGAATGAATAAATATTTTACACTGTACTAGGTATTTATCCTAGGGCTTTGGAGGTTTTTCTACTCCCACCCTGCTGACAGACTGAAAGGGATGCTCCTACCCATGAGGAGGATCTGGGCTTTTATACCCCCTGCCCCTCTGCTCCTGGCAGGAGATGCTAGAGTTATTCCACACTGCTGGAATAACTGAAAGGCTAGAGGTCCCATATCTGTGTTATGGGATCTAGAGCACCAGGGGAGGGACTGTGTTTCTGGTCAGGCTGAGTTTAGCAAACTTTTATTGAGCTTTGGAAGAAGCACTAAGCCTCTTATTCAGTTAGCCTGCAGTCCAGAAACCTGTATCCTGATGTCCCATGGCAGATGAACAGCCAGGCTTTAGGCTACAACCAAGTTCATTTGGTTTGAGTCCTGTGCTTTTTAGTCTGCCTTTCATCTTTATGAGCAACCATACTAGTGGCAAGATCAGGCAGCATGTCCAGGCACAGCTATTGCCACAGGGTCCAACTCCACAAGTTTCCACCAGATGAGGAGTCCATGGCCCCACTATACTCTGACCAGGGAGGAACTCAGGGAGTGTGGGGCCCAAAGTCACTAGCCACCCACTCCACCCTGACTGGTATCTTGGATGTACTCCCACCCCACCAGCAGTCCACTCACATTGACTTAGGTCTGTGACATGTTCTTGCACCTGACCCAGGTACAGCAGATAGTGCATGACAATATATTTCAATATTAGCAGGCCAGGCACTATAGCCACTGCCTCACTGGACATGAAGGATGGCACCTTCGGAGCTTCAGCCTTCGTGACAGCTATAGACAGTGAAGGGGCAGGATGTGACAACATCCTGGAGCACCTGTCCAGGACCTTGGACATACCATATGCCCATCTCAAAGGCAAAGATGACAGAGCCCAAGTCCCACAAAGAAACAACGGAGGCAGTGGTGGGGCCCATGCCTGGGAGGACCCATGGCTTTGTAACCGCAACTCACAACATGTCTGGTAGGAGGAAGGCAGTGGCTAAGCACAGCACCACCAGCTCGGGAGGAGGGGTGCTGACGGCCACCAGCTGCTGCAATGCGGCCAGTACTAATCCCTCTACGAGTCAGAAAACCAGGATGCTGGACCGGGACCTCTCAGAGAAGCTTGGAGATTAAAGCCCCGCCCTTCACGAGATCACGCCCCATCTGAAGCCCCGCCCCCGTCCCGCCCTGGAAGAAGTCACACCTCTCCCTGTGGCCCCTCCCCTCCCGACTAGTTTCTCTGTCACCAACGGGCCAAATCCTTTCAAATTGCTTCTCCGCTCAGCACTAGATGGCCGTGGGCAGTTCCTCCCGATACCTGGGGAAAGACAGTGAGGGGAGGCGGGCTCCGGACTCCTGTCTGGTTATCGGCCTTGTCTTAGCCGCCCTACCCCAGGTCCACGGCGTAAACCGCTTAAGTACGGCCGTGAATGCCCACAGAACCTCTCGGTGGCGTGTCAGGACGGTGCCCCAGCGACTCAGATCCTTGCAGCCCCTCAGCACGCGGGTAGTCTTAGGCCACGCAGCGTAGAGTCCCGGAGTTCCGCAGGGCAGGGTCAGAATCGGGGAGAGGGGCGGGGGGCGGAGCCCAGCGAGGGCCTGGTGTTGCGGTGCTCCACCCTTCGGCTCTCTGGGCGCGCGGCCCCGCCCTGGATCATGTGATCTCCCGCGGCCCCGCCTCGCGCCGGAAGTTCCGGTGGCGGATTGCCTGACCGGGCCGAGCGGGTCGCTCCGCGGGCTGCGGGCGCAAGGCGGCCGGGTACGGACCCTGGGAACAGAGCCCGGCCGTGCCGCGCGGGGCCATGAAGGGCAAGGAGGAGAAGGAGGGTAGCACGCGGATGGGTGCTGGCGGCGGCAGCCCAGAGAAGAGCCCGAGTGCGCAGGAGCTCAAGGAACAGGGCAACCGGCTCTTCGTGGGCCGCAAGTATCCGGAGGCGGCGGCCTGCTATGGCCGCGCCATCGTGAGTGCGGGGGGGTGGGGACGGGTCTGGGATTCCCTTCAGTCTTGCCCCTGGAAGCTCTCAGCGACTTTGCTTCGCGGGCACCGGGTGCGGCCCTGTAGTCTGTGCTAGAATGCCTGGGAACAAAGTGGTGGGATGCGCGGGTGAAATGCTTGGAGCTGGCTGGGCTGGAGACCCGATGCCTCTGCCCCTTGAGGACTCTAGGTACAAAGCTGAGAACCTTACAGGTTTGAGGAACTTTTCCTTACAAAGTCAATTGGAGTTGAGGGTGGGCCGAACTAAGATTCTGACGCTGACAGCTGAGAACTTCTAGTTTTTCATTCCAGCTATAAACCCCCAATGTGCAACAGAATCTGGGGCATCTGGGTGTGAGAGCAAGTGGTGGAGCCCACGCGTTCACACTACTGGCCTTGGTCCCCAGACCCGGAATCCCTTGGTGGCAGTATACTACACCAACCGTGCTCTGTGCTACCTGAAGATGCAGCAACCTGAGCAAGCGCTGGCTGATTGTCGGCGGGCCTTGGAACTGGACGGACAGTCTGTGAAGGCGCACTTCTTCCTGGGGCAGTGCCAGCTAGAGATGGAGAATTACGATGAGGCTATTGCCAATCTGCAGCGAGGTGAACTGACAAGTTGTCTGGTCACAGGGCACTTGGGGCCATGAGTGGACCAGCGGGTGTGACCTGACAACTCCATTTTCCCAGCCTACAGCCTGGCCAAAGAGCAGCGGCTTAACTTTGGGGATGATATCCCTAGTGCTCTGCGCATTGCCAAGAAGAAGCGCTGGAACAGCATCGAAGAGCGGCGCATCCACCAGGAGAGTGAGCTGCACTCTTACCTCACTCGGCTCATCACTGCTGAGCGTGAGAGGTGTGTCCTTCCCCCACCAGGCCACCCTCTCTTGGGTTAAGCTGAGTCACCAACACAAGTGTTTATTAAAAGGCTGACAGGGGTGGTCAGGAAGCAGACAGGGAAGAGACTTGAGGTGGGAGTGGGCTTTAAGCTGGCCAGCTTCACTTCTGACCAGCTCCCGGTCAATCCTCAGGGAGCTGGAAGAGTGTCAGCGAAATCATGAGGGTGACGAGGATGATGGCCATGTCCGAGCCCAGCAGGCCTGCATTGAGGCCAAGCACGTGAGGGTGCCCTAGGCCCACGAGGGCCTGTGTGTATGTGTGCATGCATGTAACTGAAGGTGCCCTGGCCCACAGGTGAACCTGTCCCCATGTGTGACATGGTAACAGTGCCCATGCTTCATGTTGGTGTGTCTCTTAAGCTTGGAGAATATTCAAGTGGCACACACACACAATACTCAATTCTTTGCAGGACAAATACATGGCGGACATGGATGAGCTCTTCTCTCAGGTAGATGAAAAGAGAAAGGTGAGCATCTTCTCTGAAGGCTGTAAGTAAGAAGTGCTGAAGCAGTATTCTTTTCCTGGTTCCTTACACTGTCCCTTTGTGCTACAGAAGCGAGATATCCCTGACTATCTGTGTGGCAAGATCAGTTTTGAGCTGATGAGGGAACCCTGTATCACACCAAGTGGCATCACCTATGACCGCAAGGACATTGAGGAGCACCTGCAGGTAAGGACCTGTGAGCCTCAAAACCAGGGCTGGAGGCACAGATTGGCACATGGAGCACTCTGATTCTGTTGTCACTGCAGCGTGTGGGGCACTTCGACCCTGTGACCCGGAGCCCCTTGACCCAGGAACAGCTCATTCCCAACCTGGCCATGAAGGAGGTCATTGATGCATTCATCTCTGAGAACGGCTGGGTAGAGGACTACTGAGGCCCATTGTTCCGCCTTGCCTGATACCCTGGCTCAGGAGGGTCCTGAGGCCCAGGTTCTTGTATATAATTTGTGTTGATGTGCCTGCCCCTGTCAGTTCTGCTGGTGGGCTCTGGACTGCCTTTGCTGGGCTGTGAGCCTCTTCATCATCTTTCTGGGCTGGAAAAACAGATGGACGTGGGTTGGGTTGAAGTTGCCACTCCTGCCACTCACTGTTCCTGTAATAAAATTTGTGACCAGTATATGGGGACATCCTGGTGTGTGTGTACCTGCCAGCTGCCTATTCTGGCTAACCAAGGAAGGTGGAGATGAAGACACTGGTGTCAAGATTGAGTGTGGCATGCCACCAGTGGTCAGGGAAATACAGCACCTGAGGAGAGGAGGGGAACAGAGTTTAGTTGGGGATCTTTTGGCTTGGTTGGGCTCCCTTCTACCAGCTACTGACCTCACCAGCCTGAATGGTACACTCCAGGGGCTTTTCAGATGGTGCCAGGACTGGGTAAATGTCCCGAAGCCAGGTCAGTGTTGTCTTGTTTGGATGGAACTCTGGTGTCTTCTCAGGTGGGTAGAGGAACCAGTGCTAGGGACAGGATTGTAAAGTCACCCTCATACGTTGCAGTTAAACATACCCCAAGTCTCATCACCATGTGCTGACCTTACGGCCGTAGATCACTTCAGAGAACCCGGGCCCATGCCAGTGGAAGGGGACCCCAGAGCCAGCTCCTGTGGGGTCAGTGATGAGGTGGTGACTAGATTTAATCTATACTGGTCCCCTTACCCCTCCTGAAGAAAACCCACCTGCGATTCCAAAGCTGTAAGCAGGAGTGGTTCCCAGCAAATGAAATGGAGGTGGGGAGTAGTGCTGAAATAGTGATGACCACTCCGTGAAGTTGTTGTCCCCAAAGAAGTACAGAGTGTCTGTCAAAGAACAATGGGCAGGGATCCTGACACCTGGGAATTCCCAGGTGCCCTACCCCTACTGCTGTCCAAGGCTGGCTCACCATTGCCCAGAGAAGCAGGGTCTTGGGGATGTAGCAGCTGTTCCACGTATTGCTGGAAGGGCAGGTCCACTGCGGGAAAGGGCATGGTGAGGACCAGCTGGTTCTGCCTTCAGGATGTTAGCAAGCAGGCAGGCCTCAAGAGGTGGAGCAGCTCACCTTTCTGGTAAGAATAGGTGTTGGCAGTGCTCAGCCGAACCACGTGGTCCCCAAAAGTGGCCAACAGCCTCTCTCTTGAGCACAGGGCCCGGAACTTCTGCGAGGGTCGGGACAATTTAGTAGCTGGACAAGCAGGGCCAGCTGCCTGTGATAAGCATCAGCACTCACCGAGTTGTCCGTGAGTCCCTGAAGGATGACAGGCCTGAGGAAGGCATAGCTGGGGGAAAGGAGGGCAGAGTCGCGTTCAGGTCAGTGGCGCGCACCCACGACCCCTACCACCCTGGAGGCTGGGGAAGGGGACCAGGGCATCTGCGTTATATTGGCAAGCCACGCTGGGCTTAGGGCAAAGGGGTGGGGCACACGTACTGCTGCACAAACTCGGTGTAAGTGAGGTCGGATCGGCGCTCCACGTTGCAAAGCTCCTCCGCCAAGACCACGGCTGCCCCTGGCCCAGTCTGCCGCCTACGGGCACACTGGGTCATTACAGCTCACTCTCAACCCCACGCCGTCCCGTGTTCCAGCCCGCCCTCGGCAGCTCACCACCCCCCGCCATCTGCTGCTTCCAAGCGGGACCGAGCCAACACCAGCAGCAACAGGGCGAGCACCACCGGCGACTGCACTTCCCGAGCCATGGCCTACCGCAGACGCGCAGCACGCCGGGAACGAACTGCCGGCGTAGCACTGGCCAGTAGCTCTGTCGTTGGAGCAACGGGCCGGCCCCCGGAAGCAGCCTTCTTCAGCCCGCCCCCAGAAGAAGCAGTTCCGGAAAACTCTTGAAGTCCGCACTGAGAGTTGCTATTGGCTACTGCTAGTTACTATGACGATACTGACCCAGCCAGAAGCCCTTGCCCTCCATCCCACGAAGCGATTGCTAATAGTCCCACAGCAACTCCTGCGGTTTTTATTGAGTTCATAAGTTCCAGTCCCTTTCCATGGTGGCACAGAGGCAAACTGGAGCAACAGTGTCTAGTCCTGGGGGGCCTCTACTGACTTCTTATGGAAGCTGTCCCAGGCCACCGCAGCAGATCAGGAGTACTCGCAGAGGTGGCCACAGCCTGCTGGGCAGTGGGAGCTGCCCTCCAACCACTTCATGATGTGTTGCAGGTGGCCACCGTGGCTGCAACCCTGGCACCATACGAACAGGCCCTTGACCACGTGGTGGCAGACAGCACACATGCTGGCACAGCGGTGGCACCTGGAAGCAGGAGGACACCTCAGCTGGGGTTCTTGGGGTGCCTAAAGGTCCCTATCCCCTACCCCCACAGCCCCACCTGTCGCAGACCCAGCCCCGAGTGCTCATGGGCCGCTTGCAGTGGCTACAGTTGACATGCAGGGTGGTGGAGGCCTGGTTGAGGCAGCTGACAGCTTGGCTGGTACTCAGCTTGACCACTTCATTGGACACGTTCCAGAGGCGGAAACGCTGCAGCAGGTCAATATATGATGTGTACCAGTGTTCCTGAGGGGATGGAGCCAGGAGGTTAGGACAGCAAGGTACACTGGGGGAAGGACATGGGAACAGGGCTGGGTTCACACAAGGAGGCAGTAACCTGGGTTTGTCCCAGACATGTACAGGAATGGTGCTGGGCCAGCAGGTGTTCCAGGGAGGCCCAGCCCGCTCCGTCACACACACCTGGGTCTGTTCATCGATGTCCTTGCGCACCCGTTCACCTAGCACGATGAGCACAGATACGGCCATCTGCACATCACCCTGCTCAGCATAAAAGCGCAGCATGTCGCACACCAGCACACTGAAGAAGTCAGGCGGCAGGCGGCTGTCATACAGCGCATGTGAGATGGACAGGAGGGAGAAGGAAGAGTCCACAGGCACCAAGGAGGCTGCATCCGCCTCATTCCCACTCACATGTGGTGAGTCAGCCTTGTCCTGCAAGTGCTCGGGCCCAGATGGTGTGTCCACAATCTCATGGCGTAATGGGAAGGCCTCCTGCGGCAGCACATACTCAGGCTCCTCGGCTGCGAGGCAGGAACCAGCTGGGTGGGCCTAGGGCTCTTCCCCCACATACTTCCACCCTACTCAAACCCCCACTCCTAGGCACATGTGCTCTGCTCCCATCCCACCAGAGTCCTTACTCACGGTGCGCATGTTCTGGGTCCAGTGGGTACAGCTCATCCTCCTCACCCTCCACATCACCGAGCAGGTAGTCAGTGGGCACGTCGCTGCCCTCTGTTTCCTCATTATCTACCCAGCATGAGAGGGGGATGTTCAAGGAACGGCTCACTGTATGGTGCTTAACCCCACTCCCCTCAGCATTCCTGCCTGCTCTCCAGCCTACCCTCGTTAGTGATGAGTGTGGCAGAGGAGTCAAGCAGAACCGTGTCACTTCGTGTGTCCCCTTTGCTTCGATCCAGCCTTGTCTCACTGCCTAGACCAGGAGCCATGTCCTTTAGGTTGAAACTGGGGGTAGGGAAGGCTCATGAGTGGTTGGGCTCTAGCAACCCCATCCTCTGGGGAGAGCCAACTCTAAGCATCTACCTGTTCATGAGGGGCAGGCCACAGGAGCTGCCCTTGCCCACACTGTGGTTGAGGTTGGCAGAGGGCACCAGACCAGGGCTACAGTAGATGATTCGCAGCATGGTCCACGTCTGTGCCACCTAGGGGCAGGCACCAGCAACTTACAGGGCCCTGGACACCCACAACCCCAGGTAGAGCCCCACTACCTGGGCAGAATCACACACCAGCATTCAGCTGCCCTGGGGACCCAGTTTCTTGGCCAATGGAAAATATTAAAATCCCAGTCTCCTACAGTAACACAGGGAAAAGAGAATTGAGAGGCAGCAAGGGACCCAATGGGACCAAAAAAGGGCATATAGAAGGCAGCTTTTACCTTTCTGCAGGGTAACATGCTACAGGAGGCTGGATATCAAGAGTGAGACAGAAGAGAGGCTTTGGCCATGTATGGTCTTGACACCCTCAGTTACTGGGGCAAGTGCTGGTGGTAGGAATGACCAGAGCCAAGTCCTCAGCTTGAGGTAGGTGATGGTACAGCTATCAGAGCAGCCAACCCCTCCCGCAAGGTCAGTGCCCTTGGTCTTCCCTTGGCTCAACCCCACCTACCTGGTTTCGGCCCAGCTCTCGAGCCACCTTGGCATTGTGGTCACAGAGCTCGGCTAGTGGCCGGCCTGCCAAAGCATAACGCTCAGCTGTGTCTACAAACCAGTTCATACTCCCACCACCAGGCTCTATCTCAAAGACATTGAGGGCACTGGAGGCAAGGCCTGAAAAGGGTTCAGCAGGATCCAGCTTGCGCTTAAAAAAAATGGGATGGCGCCGGTCACCAGTGTAAGGCTTACGTCCTGATTCAGCAGCCACCAGGCTCTCCTTGGCAGCAAAGGCCAGGTCCCCAAAAAGGCCATAGCACAGGCCTTCAGGGTTGGCACGTTCAACAGGCTGGCTGGCATCACGAAACAGGTGCTGGCACAGTGTGCTGTCCTTGGAGCCAGAGAGCAGAAAGGAGGGGTCGTGGGGATGGCGCCAGGCGATTCCTGTTGTGACATCACGGTGCTCCTCAAACATAGCAGCTGGCACAAAGGGCCGACGCACATCCCACACATAGATGTTGTGATCTACCATCATGGAGCATGTGGCTAGGTGGTGGCGGCACTCAGGCCGCCACTTGACACGTGCCACTGAGGCAATGGTCTGCACGCAGTGCATCTCCTTGGCACGGTGTGTGGTCATGTCCCACACTTTCACCATCTTGTCACGTCCACCTGTAGCCAGCCAGCCCCTGCAGGAAAGCCCACCCAAGCCCTCAGTGACCTCTCTGGAAGAGAGGACACCCCCAGCTCTGTGATTCCCATACTCAGCCTTGTAGGTCTTAAGTCAGTGAGACTTCTTTAAGCCCTCCTTCCCCCATATCCCCACATCATACCTGTCCTCAGGGTGCCAGTCGCAGCAAAAGACTGGCCCATTGTGGGCTGTGAACATCCTCTCACATCGGTCAGGACGTCGGATGTCCCAGAGTTGCACATTGCCATTCTCGAAGGTGGAGGCAAATGTGAAGTAGTCCCGGATACTGAACTGGACATCTCGCACACTCTCAGACTGGCCTGCAGGTAGGGCATCATTGGAGGTAGAGATAAAGGAGCCTGACCACTGTGGTAGAAGGACCCTTTGAAATGGCTATAGAATGGTATTACATACCTTCCTATGGCTAGGCCAGGAGGCCCAGAGGGTAAAGTGTACAGTCCAAGATCTGTCCAGTGTGAGTGAAGTTTAGACAGGGGAGGACAGACTGGGTGGTTTCTGCACAAACTCTAGTGCCTCAATTTTCCTTGAATTCTGTGTCTTCTATTATTCCTTGGGCAAAGGTGTGCCCTAGCCTCAGAAATCCATATATAAGCACTAGGGAAGCAGAGGCCCTATCTTCCCAAGTCCCCCAAGGGCCAACATCCTGTGGAAGTTACTGAGGAGGGCACCTCAGATTCTCCCCACCCCTTTGACCTGACTGAAGTTGCATGATGAACCCCAAAAGACGAGAGATCAAGGGACCAGGTCCACCAGAGAGCCTTAGAAGTCAGTGTCTAGCCTTTTTCTGACACAGGCAGCTCAGAATTTTTATTTATTTATTCATTTATTTTTTAGCAAGGGTCTTGCTAGTTGAAACTGGCCTTGAATTAACCTGTTGTCTGTACAGGCCTGGAACTTGTGTCAATTGTCCTGCCTCAATCTCCTAAGTGCTGGGATCATAGGTGTTCAACACCATGCTGGGCAGTATCTGTATGAATAACCTCCAAGCTGGGTGTGATGAGAGGCTGAGGCAGGAAGATTCTAAGCTTCAGGCCAGCCTGGGCTACATTGTGAGTTTGTGGCTAGTCTGGATTGCATACCAAAACCTTCCCTGTCTCAAGTAAAATAAAATAAATTATTAAAAAAAGAACAAAAAGCAGCAGTGGCTGCTGCCCATAAATTCTCTGAGGATCCGGAGCTCTGCTTTGTACTTCACTCGGCATCATCAAAGTAGACAAAAGAGAGCTGGCTCAGGGCTGGGCATCCAGAGCTGGACCTGCTAGGAAAAACGCTGTAGGGAATTAGAAAGTGCTCTCCACCTCCTCTGCATCCCTGGGCTGAGAACCTTGGAGTCCTGGTAAACTTCCTGTAATATAGGGAGCCTGGTGAGGTGAGAGAGGGGGAAGTAACACACTGGACAGAACTAATCAGCCACTCCTCTGAGCTGTGAATCCACTTGCTCTGCTCTCCATCATGCCACACCCAACCTCAATTCTGGCTCATCTTGCCTCCCACCACCAGTTCCCAGGTTCATACTTCACCCAGGCCTGCCTCCATACCTCCTCTGCTGAGCCCCACCCTTCTAATGCACAGAGCATTTCTCAGCCTGCCTGGACAGGCAGAGTGCCTGTAGAGGCATACGCCTACTCCATCCTGCCTCTGTGGGCCTCACCTGAGAAAGTGCTGACAGAATCCTTCCTGCGGAGGTCGAAGCATTTCATGAAGCCATCTTGGGAGCCACTGAGCAGCACATGGGCCTCAGTAGGGTGGAAACAGACTTTGTTTACAGTGCGCTTGTGTTCTGTGAACAGCTGGTCCTGCTTGTTACGGGATGGCCGACCCAGGTTCCATGTGACCACCACACCATTGGTGGCCGCTGTGGCTAACAGATTCTCATCCATCTGGTGCCAGACCACATCAGCACAGCTCAGGTTGAGTGATGGCTTCCTGCCCACACG